CCATCGGAAATGCAGCCGCCGCAGCCGGGATTCGAACCCGCGCCCTGCGGGTCAGTAGCCGAGTACCTTAGCCACTAGACCACCGCGGCGGGGCTTTCAGCCCCTGTCGTTATGTTCCAGAAAGTTAAGCAAAATGTCCGAATTCCTAATTAAAAAGGGGTCATCGATGGTGAGCAAATTGAGTTTTTCTTGCAGAAATAATGCCACAGTTTTTTTGCCATGTTCCTCTCTCTCTCTCTGCGGGTAATTGTGACAAATACGCGGCTATCCAACTTAGTATATCTGAGCTAATTCCTAGTTACTGAAGCTTAAAAACTAATTTGCTATGAGGAACTTTATTAAATGCTTTGGCGAAATCTACACAAATGACGTCTATTTGTTGTTGACCTTGGAGAGATACATAAAAATCATGAACTGTTTCTACCAGTTGAGTAACAGTGGACAACGCCTTCCTGAATCCGTGTTGATGGGGATAAAAAAACTCTTTCGACTCAAGAAAAATAATAATGTGCCTTGCTATGAAATGTTCTATGATTTTGCAGCACACAGAGGTTAGTGAAACGGGGCGATAATTGTTCACATGAAGCCGATTGCCAGCTTTGTATATAGGCTTTACAATTGCAGTGCGCCAGTCTTGCGGTAATGAGGTCGTTTCAAGATATTTTCTGAAAATGATTGTTAAATAAAAGGACGGCATACCGTCGTAAGAATTCACTGGGAATTTCGTCTGGTCCGGTTGCCTTTTTAGTGTCAAGCCCTAGCATGCGACTGAACACCCCTTCCTGCATGATAGCAAAGGGCTCCATTGCGCAGGCGCGCAGGCAGACCTGGTCAGCATCCACCTGATCGGTTTCATCTCTAGTGAAGACCGACTAAAAGAACTGGTTGAAAGAATTTGCTATCTGCAAATTTTGCCTCACTGTCTTGGGTCCAATTTTTATCTGTTCAATTTCTTTTTTTTATTCCTCAAGGGAACCAAAATTTTTGAGGGGAAGGCTTAATGAAGTCAGCAAGGGTTTCGGTGTAACACTTTCGTTTGGATTTTTTTAATGCTGTCTTTAACTGTCCACGCAATTGTACGATTGCTACCGAGTTGGTTTTGTTTTTCCGCATGCGTTTTATTTTTCGTTTCATATGGACGATTTCCCGGGTTATCCACGGACTGCGCTGTTTCGTTTCCTTTTTACGAGTTGGAACAAATTTATCCGTACAATGCTTTATAATAATTTTGAAACGTTGCCATAACTCTTCTACAGATTCTGAGACAGAAGCAAGTTCAAACTCCTGAAGGGACAATTCTAGATAATCAAGTATAGACGTGTCATCGGCCCGTGCAAAATTTTTAATCTGAACCGGGATAAATGGCCGCTTCTGCGGCTTTGCGTCTAATTGGATATTAACAGTTATCAGCTTGTGGTCCGATATTCCCTCTTCGACCGATAAAGTGCTATGTGTCACTCTGCGTGATAGGAACACAAAATCAAGCAATGTTTCTGAATTAGCAGTTACTCGCGTATTTTCTTTTACAATCTGTGTTAAGTTATGAGAGAACATTATTTCCAACATTTTATCACCACTCAGAGTATATATATGTACAGGTGTGACGCTTTCCCAATTTATAAGCGGTAAATAAAAATCGCCAGTCAGTATCAACCTCGTGTTGCCATTCTGAAATTTGCACAAGAAACTGTTCAGTTGGTGTAGGAAATCAGGCGTGGTACCAGGGGGCCTGTAAATTGCTCCGACAATAAAAACCGCTTTTTCAACGGAAATTTTGCACCAAACCATTTCGGAGAGGGAGCAATCAGTTCTTTCTGTCGTAATTGGCGACTTCACAAGAATGGCCACTCCACCACCCCGTGAATCCCTATCCCACCTGTGTACAAGATATCTGGGAGGAATAATACAATCGTCGGGAATTGAAGGGCTCAACCATGTTTCGGTTATGACAGCAATTTGTGGGCTATGTGACAGCAACAAGAGTGCGAGTTCCGTGACCTTATTTACAATGCTACGAGCATTTAGTACAAGCAGGCATAGGTACGATTTTGGCGCAGATGCGGCATTCGAGCGGGTAGCAGGGGCAGCTCTGCCATCCCTCTTGCCATTGCTGTTCGAAATCGCACAACGCTCATTCTTGTTCTGATCCCAAGTGTAGAGCTTATCGTTCATTTTGAGCTTATCGTGATTCAGAGAAACCTTCAAACCGCTATCACGCTCAGCAGCCGCACTTTGCCGTAACTTCCTCCGCACTTCCACTGTTTCACTCGCATAGTCATTACTAATACTTATGGAACTTCCCTTCAGCCTCGGAAAATTTTTCATCACATGCTCCTTTTCCCGGTAGTCATAGAATCTCATGATGACTGGCCTAACCTTCCCGGGCTGTACCTTTCCCATGCGATGTATTCTCTCGATCGTCTTAACTTCTACATCAAGTTTTTCCTTAAATATCTTGTCCACGATCGAAACCATTAAATCAGATTCAGATTCTATACTTTTTTCAGCGAGACCTAATACCAAAAGATTGTGTCTCCGGCTTCTGTTTTCGTAGTCTACCAGCCTTTCCGCCTGCTGCTGGACAATACCTTCTAAAGTATCAATTCTCAGGTTCATTTCATGGATTAAAGCAAGCGAACTGGTTAGCTTATCTGTTTTAACGTTTACTTCAGATATTTGGTCTCCAATAGCATTCAAATTACGTTCAGACTTGGCCTGGTTTTTCAAGATCGTTTGCAAGAGCTCTTGCATCGTAGCAGGCCCGGGGTTTTCCTCGACGTCTCCCGACATAACAAGCATCATCATAGCAGACCAACAGTCAACTATAATACAGTAACATCTTCGAGGGCACGGCAGGATCAACAAGCATAAATCATCACTACGACAAGAAGCTATTTCATTGTGGTAAACAACCTGCAAAAGCAGCAGCAGCGGTTTAGCCATGCTGTTCGCAGGCCGGGTGCCGTGCCCTCTGAGGCGGCTCATGTCTCGTTGCTCCTTATATTCCGTTGCTGCAGGTGATGTCACTCGGGTCGGTAGATTATCGGCATTTCCAGGTTCCAGAATTCCGTGGAGCGGCAGGAAGTATGCATTTCCATCGTCACAGTTCGTCGTCAATGCAGTCAGACCAAAAAAAAAAAAAAAACACGGCGCAACCTGCAAAAGCAGCAGCAGCGGTTTAGCCATGCTGTCCGCAGGCCGGGTGCCGTGCCCTCTTTTTGTCTCCCTTTTCTCCCTTTTTGTGCGAGATCCAAGCAGTCTCGAGCGCTTTCACCAGGTATTCGCGTCATACGCCCTATAATCAGGTGCACAACTAAATGAGAGGAAGTGTAAAACCCTCCTATTCGCCCCATTTCCGGCGCACGTGATCGGCAACTTCGAGATAGCCACCACTGTTAAGGTCCTCGGTATAAACTTTTCCAGCGAGGGAGTTACGGCCTCAACGTGGTCCCGAGTCGTGGACAGGACTGCACAAGTGTCAGAGAGCGCTAGCCTACAAGGCCTGACGCTATGCGAGAAAGCCGTAGCCGTCATAACAAGCATTTGCGCCCTAGCCTCGCATGCGAGCTGAGTAGCGGTGATGCCCACAAGAACAGCAAGCCAGTTGACCAAACTCATTAACGCATACCTCTGGGATGGGAAACCGCCACCATTGAAGCAAAACTTGCTACAACTGGCAGTGTCAGAATGGGGTCTCGGCCTACCACACGTGTTGACCACGAGCAGAGTCCTGGCCCTGAAAACCGCCCGCATGCTCGCGCGCGCTAGCGATTACCTAGGGCGCAACCTACTCCTCTACTGGAGTGGAGTGAGGCACGACTGGCTGGATGCAGGCCGCCACACCGGGCCCTTTGCTGAGGCGCCCGCGCCCTTCTATAAAACGGCGTCGGCTACCTGGCGCATGTTGAGGCAAGAAGTGCCCGAAGGCGATGTGGATGAGGACCCGCCAGCGCGCATCGTTGAAGCCATCACGCGGAAGCAGCTGAGCGACACTGAACCAAAACGAGCTGAGCGCGCGAGGCGCGAATTACTCTCGCTCCGTTGCGGCACCCCCCGTGATGCACAGGATTTCCTCCTGAAAAAGACCTGGGCAGTCCGCCCACCTCCCCCACCACAAGCGCAACAAAGGTGCCTTCTGCCAACTTGTGCTGATCTTCACGATGCTAGCTATTTGGCAAAGGAGATCGCTAGCGGAGGCGCGTAGAAAGCCTGTGCGGAGCGCGTTTCCGGTAGTCTCGCGGATCCGGCGGTTGCTATGGGCCCACCTATCCGGCGAACTCGAGGCCAGCGGCGAGGAAAACTTCCTTCGTCGCTGGCATACCAAATTCTTTTTTCTGAGGAATGGCATGCTAGCCGCCCCTATCACTACCTGGTGACCCCCCTCCCGCTGTCTTGCACATGCAGAAGGGGACTTGCATATATATATATATATATATATATATATATATATATATATATATATATATATATATATATATATATATATATATATATATATCTGTATCACCTTTTTCATTTCATCACCCCACTGTCATTGTTATTTGTAATCGATTTGGGCAAAGTGCTGGTCGACACGAGTTAATTTTTGTATAATGCCTTCTGCATTGATTGGCGCCTTCAGTCAGTTTTTTACGCGCAGATTGTTGCTGATGCCTTATTTGGGGGGAAACAAGACCCCCCCCCCCACTCCCTTGTACCCCCCCTGCCCCCCCCCCAGCCTCAAGGCCTCTTTTATACTTCCGGGCATGCACTTACCGTGTTCGAAAGCAGCATTGTTTCAGGCGACAAAAATGAAATAATACCTAGAGTTGTACAGCGCTAAGTCGCTACTTGTTCCAACCGTGTGTTGAGAAGACCGACCGCCGCGCATGATTAAGCCTGCTGGAGCACCACGCGCTGTACAGTAAATAGAAGGGTACATTCCCTCACATACATTGTACCTCGGTAGTGGTGCTTTCCTGATTGTGCACCCTTTGTAGTCATGAAGCTCGATGTTTTTGTCATGTACTTTATCCTTGGTTGGAAGTCAATAAACTCTTTGTTGCCCCTAGGGAGAGGCGCGGGCATTGCACTGCCCTCGTGCTGACCCCTGCCACTACCCCAAACTGGGGAAGATGGGGCATGCAATTTTTGGTAGTGGGGGACTGCGTTCGCGCTGTCCCCCTATTTTACAATCCAAAGGAAGATCTATACCCCGTTAAAACACTTGCGCGACGGAGGATAGTGCAAGCTATTGAGAACCTAGTTCTCCGATATGGATTCCGATGTGCCGTTTTCTTGTGTTAAGGGAGAGTTGCTCAGAGCCCTTAACATATACCTGCCCAAGGCGGCAACTGGAGAGAAAGTTGCGATATTTGAAGTTTTTGCGCTATCTCTATTCGTATTATGTCTTCACATTGTGGGTGAAGAAGATGAAGAAATAAGCCTGAGGTAGGTAAGGGGCTTTATTGATCCTCGGAAGAATCATTTGAGGGCAGGTGTGGCAAGGTAAGTGGAGGCAGGATGACGACGGGCCCTCGGGCCGCTCTAGATGGCCGCACATTTCTGTGCTTCGGCGACCCTTCTGGCCCAGCTCACTATCCCGAACTTTATTTCCGGTTGCGAGCTGCGAAGAGTGCGTATACCATCGCTCCTGGCGGGCGGAAAAATTAGGTAAAAGAATGTAAAATGGAGACAGCTGACGATTCCATCCCTGGCACCTAAAAGCGAAGGGAGGTAGGGAGGTAGCTTGAGCCTTGTTCCGAGTGCTCGGGCTTTGGTGTCAGCAGCCGTGTTCGGACGAGAACACCAAACTAAGCAGCCAGATAGATAGATACCCTTAAAATCACCAAAGTTCGCAAAGAAATGCTGCAAATTTAATACAAAGCACCTATAATGCTGTCTTGGTTGCCCTTGACTTAGACGTTTTTCTTTTTAATTGTGATAACACACAAAAAAGTTCAATTTTACAAGCTTTCTCGAATCGCACTATCTTCTAAAGCAAGTCTATCTTACAACTGCACCCAGAGTGCCACACTGGCTGGCTGGCTGGCTGGCTGGCTGGCTGGCAATGACGGCTAAAGTTCCCCCACCGGCGACACGGACGGCTTGTGTTACGGCAGGCGCGAATACTTTTTTGAGGCGGCGACGGAGACGAGCACTCATTATAGACACCTGAGCTCCAGTGTCATCTAAAGCCGTCAGAGAAAGACCGTCTACATGCACTTCCAGGAAGTTCTTATTAGTAGGTAGCGTCAATGGAGGAATTCGGGTCAGTCGCACTTGATGCAGCACTACCTTCAGGAGCTGCATAATCTAGTTTTCCATCCCGGAAGATCCATAGTTAGTTGGCGATGGATAGCGGCGGGGTGTGGGCGACGGAGAACGGCCCCGTTGCGCTGACGGTGAACGAGCAGTAGAGCGGCTGTTTGTTTCGTCGGAAGCAGGATACTCACGGCTGGGCAAATACCGAGGAGGGTCCGAATATGGCCGAGGAGAAGAAAATTGGCTCCAAAGGGGGGGGGGGGGCGCCCAAGTGCTGCGGCAGTAGCCGGAGACAAGGCCAACTCGGTGACAGCGGAAGCACATTGGCTTGTCGTCTGCTGTTCTCCATTCCGTCGGATTGCAGAATCTGGGCAGAAAGTATGGGTCGTGGCGTGGTGCATTTATTGGCATTGGTCTGTAGTTCGGTCGGGAGACTGAGCAGGTGAGACAGGAAAACCAATGTTAGCAATTTCTTGTCGCACCACTGCCTGAATAACTGACACCGACGGAGGTGTTTGCACGGTGCCCTGGTGCATGAAACGTGCATGAAACGACGCCCGACGGGCCGGGCCGCCTCAAGCTCGCGCCGAATGATGCGTGTGACATTCTCGTGCAAGGGTGGTGCGGCACCGAGATCGGTACAGGTTGACGTGACAGCCGTGTTGGGTAGTCGTGAATATTGAGGCCAAACTCGGCGGTTCTTGGCCATTTCGAAGCGGTGGCATTCCTTAGTTATGATATCGACGGTCATGACGTTGTACACGAGCAAGTTGAAAGCGCCGTCCGTGATGCCCTTGAGTATGTGGCCCACCTAGTCACTCTCGGTCATTTGCTCATCCACTTTGCAGCACAACGCAATCACATTCTGTATTTACGAGACATACGACTCGTTTGATCACTGTACTCGGGTGGCGAGTTCTTGTCGTGCGGCCACTTGCGACCGGATGGGTCCCCAAAGATGTCGCGTAGTCGCTCCTTGAAGATGTCCCAGCTGGTGAGCTCGGCCTCATGAGCATCAAACCATACACGCGGGGTACGTAGAAGCATGGACCAACATGTTGAACGCCACGACCAAAGACGCCACTCAGACGGTAGAAGTAGAGCCGGAGGCTACGATGCTGGACAGCAGACTAGCGCACCTCATGGAAGCCCGCAACTCGCTGAGATGGCGCTGGAAACGTCAACGCCACAACAGAAAGCTACGCAAACGTATAGAACAACTCAACAGAGACATCGAGCATCACAGCGCAGTCCTCTGCTGACAGCAGTGGCACGCGGTGTGTCAAGAAGCCGACGGTCAACTACACAAAGGCAAGACGTGGCGCCTACTACGCCACTTGCTCAACGATCAGACAACCAAGGGAGCTCAGCATTACATGCTGAACAAGACAATTCACAAAGCCGTCAAAGAAATGGGAGAGGCTGAGGTGCAACGACGCCTGGATGCCAAGTATCTCCCTGTAACGCCAACGGACCCACTCCCCAGCTACGAAGGGGCAACCAACGAGAGACTAGATGCCGACATCGAAGAATGGGAAGTGCGAGCGGTTCTACAAACAATCAACTGTAAATCAGCATCCGGAACGGACCACGTCACCAACAAGGCATTGATGAACTTGAACGACACGGCAATCGAAGCCCTCACCAAGTACTACAACCAGTGCTGGCGGACGGGCAAGCTACCGCAACATTGGAAGACCGCGAAAACGGTCCTGATCCCCAAACCGGGCACACCAGCCAGCATAGACAACCTGAGACCTATCTCTCTAACGTCGTGCGTGGGCAAGGTGCTTGAACACGTCCTACTCAACAGATGGCAACGTTATTTGGAAAAATCCAACATATATCCACATACAATGCTGGGGTTCCGGGCCAAACTGTGTACCCAGGACGCCATGCTGTTGCTCAAGAACGAAATCGTAGACAGACACTTTCCCACGTTGGATAACAGAGTGGTGCTCGGACTGGGTCTCCAGGGAGCATTCGACAACGTACACTACTCGGCCGTCCTTCGGCAGGTTGTCCCACCTCAACATGGGGAAGAGGACGTACGCTTACATCAAAGATTTCCTGACCAACCGCACCACGCGGCTTGTGGCAGGAGAACTACAACTACCGCTCAAGCAGCTGGGGAGCACGGGGACACCGCAGGGCTCGGTGATCTCCCCTCTGTTGTTCAACCTTGTCATGATAGGCGTTGCAAGAAGATTGGAACGCGTTAGAAATATCAAGTACACGATCTGCGCGGACGACATCGCGCTGTGGTCAACGGGAGGAAACGACAGCCAGATCGAGGCAGCCCTCCAAGAAGCCGTCACCGCCGTAGAAGAACACCTACAACCCACCGGACTTAAATGTTCACCAATCAAGTTGGAACTGCTAGTGATCTCACCGCGAAGTGCGCGACGCCCAACAACGCAGAATATCAACGTGGTAACCCAAGACGGAACGCCGATACCGCACGTGCAGACGCTCAGAGTTTTGGGGCTGCACCTCCAGGACTTGAACCGCAACAACGTGACGGTACAGAAGCTCCACGCAAAGCTCTCGCTAGCCACCCGCCTACTCAAGAAGGTGGCCACGCGGTACCAGGGCATACGAGAAGACAGTCTACTACGACTCACCCAGTCGTTTGCAGTCCGCCACATCTCTTACGTAGCGTCGTTCCACAATTGGAAAGCGGCGAAGAAGGTCAAGATTGACGCGATGACCAGAAAGGCGTGCAAGACGGCCCGGGGCCTATACCCCCACACCAACACGGAACGCATGCTCGCGTTGGGCGTTCACAACACGCTGAAAGAAATCGCAGAAGCCCAGCGAACGGTGCAGTATCACCGCCTGTCCCAGACCAGGACGGGAAGAACGATACTACAACGCATCGGAATCAACGCGCCAGCGACGACTCCGGAGGTACCAAAGCAGCTACCCCGGGACGTTCTCCAAAGACTGAGGGTTCCACCCTTACCGAAGCACATGCATCCGCAAGTACTCCCAGAAAGAAGAACGGCGAGAGCCACGGCCCTCACAATAGGTCACGCCAACGATCCGCGCGCGTACTACGTGGACGTGGCAAAGTATCCCCACCGGCCAAGCACGTACGCAGCAGCAGTCATCGCAGCAGACACTGGAGTACTCACAACGTCGGGAAGCATACGGTACAAGTCGCCCACGCAAGCCGAGGAGTTTGCAATCGCACTGGCACTAGTGATCCCGGATTGCCGCACGGTCCTCAGCGACTCGAAGACGGCAATAGTCAACTTTGCTACAAACAACGTCCATGAAACCACTGCAAGAGTATGTTCAACTTTAGCAAGACCGGAAACCAACATTACCGTTAAGTGGTTCCCTGCGCACGCCGGGAGCTGGACGTGGGCCCGAACCGCAACGAGGAGGCAGATACGAAGGCACACGCGCTAACTAGCCGCGTGTCTCTGTCAACGCATTCCTCGGAGCCGCAACGACCCGATGCCGAAGACGGAGAGTATTTTATCACAACCTACGCCGACGTTCTGCAGTGGTACAGAACGAGCAGACGCCTCTACCCACCGCCTCATCGAGACCTACAACGCAGAGAAGCAGCCACACGACGGCAGTTGCAAGTACAAGCCATATGGACCCCCGTCTGGGCAAAGCACGTTTGCCCGGAGGTTTACACTACTGATGTATGCCAACACTGCAAAAAGGCGCGAGCCACCCAGAGACACCTCCTCTGGGACTGTGCACCACCGCCGGGTAACCAAGAAGTAATGCCAACTGCCATAAGCAGCAAAATCATCAGCCGAGAGCCAGGCAACCAAAAAGACGTGGTCCAGCACGTGCTTGCCATCCTGGAACGCCAGTGGCCGAAAGCGGTGCCCCCACGGGATTGACGCGAGTAGGTTGCTGCTCTGGGACGTCCGAGCACGCTAGTGTCTTGCTTTAATCCCCCTACCCCTTCCCTCTTTATGACGGATCGTCAATAAAGTTGTTTCACTCACTCACGCGGGGTGCCATCAAAGTAAAAGATTACGTTAGCGAGCATCATAGTAGGGTCCCTTCAGTGAGACAGGCTAACGCGCTCGTACATGCGGAGCCAGTAGTCGACGTTAAGGCCAGGCTGGGCGGAGAACGCACCAGGATCACGGGGGTGGGACATCGCAAGGTACATAGTAGCTGACGCTCCAGCTGATGGCCGTGACGGGTTGTTATCATTAGAAGCCATGGCCAGAGGCTGGACGGTGCGGCCACTGCGGAGCTTCGTGGTGAGGACGGGGAACGTTCTATATCCACCAAATATGTTACGGGAGAGAGACGCCGTATCGACGAGGTTGTGGATGAAATATACTTCAAACCAGCAGCAGCAGTGGCGTGACCGGTAGACCAGACACCGAGCGGAGACCACTCTTCGTCCTCTTCATCAGGCACACACGCGCACCGTCCCACAAAATGTCACCATGTGTGTAGCAATATCATGAGTGGTTTCAAAGATCCATCGTCGAATTCTGACTGCAGTGCCAGAGAAACTAAAACTAATGCACTCGGTGAGTTAGTTTTCGTTTCCTTAGCACCGCGGTGTGGAAATTCGACCATGAATTTTTGAAACCACGCGTAAAATTTAAAATTTTTTAAAACTACGCTCTCCATAATTTGTGACGCAGAACAACTTCGTCATATAAACAACCGACCTAAAATTGATAATAAAGTTAGTTCAATTATTTTGCTTATCATTCCTGAGTTATCTAATTAGTAACAAAATCCGCCTTGGCTTAGGAATAGGTTGCGAAGACAAGTGGCTACCCATTATAAATAATTTAAAGTTTGCAAGCATTGTACCACCAGTAAAACTTCATTCCCACCGACTTAAGCAAAAGAAAGCCAAAAATCAAGGTTGCGGGAAAACCTGTGCCTGCTAACACATTCCAGGTATTAAGCCAATTGAAATTAATAAAAAAGGATTGCCAATCGATATTCAAAGCGCCAAATTTGGAGAAAAGCCAATGGATAAAAATAAAAATGTCGACTAGAGGTAGCACATAGGTGTCCCGAGGGCTAATCGAGCCCAGAGACCCGTGGAAGTTTACTATGAAAATAATAGGGAAGCGATGGCTGGGCCAGTTTTTCAGATAAAAAGAATGTGCATAAAGTTCAGGGAACCTCTTATAATTTTAAAGTAGCTGAAAAAAACATAAGCTATTGTCTAAAGCTGTTTGTGTTCACCGATGATATTAATGCACATTGGTAAACGAAACCAGATCTGTACAGCATGAGAAGAAGCTGTTGTCTCACAATGAGGTACAACAGCATTTGATGGCTTTGTTGCTGCGTGCTTAGCTTTTATAAACGGCACAAAGAAGTCAAATCATTTTAGCGAAGTGAAACCAGTATAAAACTGCAGACACCTTTCGTCCTGAAGAACTGTGTTTGTGTTCAAAGGTGGCACGGCTGGAGCGGCTGGAACGGCTGACGGCACACGGATGCGCTACCGTGTGCAGCGCCGTTTAGTCAGACGTCGCGGCCAGCAGTCAGGGTCGCAACTCCTGAGGTTCAGGGTCAGGCCCCGGCTCACGAGGACCACGCCCGGTAGGCCTCGCCACGAATCTGCTCCCGGCCACTGCACCCAGGCAGGAGCCGTTCAGCAGGCCCCGTCCTTGCACCTTGTACCGGCCGGCGGACTCGACCCCGAGCGAACACGCCGGAGCTCGACCTAGCCGACACGTACGGGTCCCACGTCCGGCTCAGGAACGCTCCCAGGCACTCGTCCTCTCGAGCGGCGTACTGCTTCGTCTGCCTTCGTGGCCTCCACGCTCGAGCTCTCTTTTCCGCACGTTCCTTCTTCTTGGCCAGGGCACCGCCAGGTACCCTCGGGTGCACACTGCAGCTCATGAGCTCGTGGCCCACGTCCGAGTCTTGCGCGTCGCTCGGCACCGCTCGGCGATCCTAGATTCAGCCAGCAACTCCCCTGGCATCTGAATCCTCGGCCACCCTGAATCCTCGCCCGGCTCCGTGCTCCTCTGTGTGCACTCCCTTGTCTCGCCCGGCAGAACATCTCGCTCGTCCCTTGCCGAAGTGCGACGCTCTGGTGACACCGGCGCTTGATGGCATGGGTGCGGCCACGGAGCAGTCAACCCGCATCGGAGACGCGATGCTCCATGCGGGGCATGGCCAGCCCGTCCAGCGAAGAGCGTGCGCCGAGACGCGATGCTCGACGCAACCGTGACCATTAGCCAGGCCACGTTCATCGCTGTGTCGAACGGCTGACCGTGGAGACGCCTCGCCGAGATCCGCGATGCCCTCGGCAAGGAAGAGAACAGCAGGCCAGGCCGCGCCCCGAGATGCAGTACTCGTGCCGGCAACGCCGCCCAAGCTGGTGGTTGGACGGCAGCAGCGTGGACGGCCGCGTTCCCTGGCCGGAACCTGGCTCGCCTGCGTCCGACGCTTCGGCCCGCTGTCTCCCGTCTGCCGCTGCTCCGGCTCGTCCCCAGCCACAAAGCCCACTGCCACGTAATGGTCGCCCGTGGCCCAATCGTGGCACGCCACCTCTATGGGCCACCACAGGTCATCAGCTGATTCGCTGACACTCACGCGCACATTACACGCGCCTTGCCCCGCACTTCCGTCGTTGTCGTTTTCTTCACTCATCACAATAACCCCCCGCACAAGAAAGTTGTTTCAGTCAAACAACTTTTCTCACAATACACAGTGATGAGGAAGAACAGTCCCGTGGACTCACGACTCTCGAGCAGTGGTGGCGGAGATGCCTGGACCAGCGTGGCCTCGGGCCTCGTTAACGAGCTCTCTGGTCCCTCATTTCTTTTTCCTCCGCGCTCACCCATGCCAGCAAAGCCTCTCCACTCAGCCTCATCTCCTTCCCTAGCTCAACTAGCGTTCTCTTGTCGACCATTCTCGTCCGCCACACACAAACAACGTGAGGCTCTCAGATGTAACGCGAGAGCTTAATCCTGGCAGGCTCGCCATTTATTGTGATGGGTTAAGGAGACGTTCGTCACTATGTTTGTTGATAGCGGACGAGAAATCATTAACATGAACTTTTTATTTCATGGCATGGGTGTAACGGCTGACGACGCACGGATACGCTACCGTGTGCAGCGCCGTTTAGTCGGACGTCGCGGCCAACCCAGCAGTCAGGGTCGCAACTCCTGAGGTTCAGGGTCAGGCCCCGGCTCACGAGGACCACGCCCGGTAGGCCTCGCCACGAACCTGCTCCCGGCCACTGCACCCAGGCAGGAGCCGTTCAGCAGGCCCCGTCCTTGCACCTTGTACCGGCCGGCGGACTCGACCCCGAGCGAACACGCCGGAGCTCGACCTAGCCGACACGTACGGGTCCCACGTCCGGCTCAGGAACGCTCCCAGGCACTCGTCCTCTCGAGCGGCGTACTGCTTCGTCTGCCTTCGTGGCCTCCACGCTCGAGCTCTCTTTTCCGCACGTTCCTTCTTCTTGGCCAGGGCACCGCCAGGTACCCTCGGGTGCACACTGCAGCTCATGAGCTCGTGGCCCACGTCCGAGTCTTGCGCGTCGCTCGGCACCGCTCGGCGATCCTAGATTCAGCCAGCAACTCCCCTGGCATCTGAATCCTCGGCCACCCTGAATCCTCGCCCGGCTCCGTGCTCCTCTGTGTGCACTCCCTTGTCTCGCCCGGCAGAACATCTCGCTCGTCCCTTGCCGAAGTGCGACGCTCTGGTGACACCGGCGCTTGATGGCATGGGTGCGGCCACGGAGCAGTCAACCCGCATCGGAGACGCGATGCTCCATGCGGGGCATGGCCAGCCCGTCCAGCGAAGAGCGTGCGCCGAGACGCGATGCTCGACGCAACCGTGACCATTAGCCAGGCCACGTTCATCGCTGTGTCGAACGGCTGACCGTGGAGACGCCTCGCCGAGATCCGCGATGCCCTCGGCAAGGAAGAGAACAGCAGGCCAGGCCGCGCCCCGAGATGCAGTACTCGTGCCGGCAACGCCGCCCAAGCTGGTGGTTGGACGGCAGCAGCGTGGACGGCCGCGTTCCCTGGCCGGAACCTGGCTCGCCTGCGTCCGACGCTTCGGCCCGCTGTCTCCCGTCTGCCGCTGCTCCGGCTCGTCCCCAGCCACAAAGCCCACTGCCACGTAATGGTCGCCCGTGGCCCAATCGTGGCACGCCACCTCTATGGGCCACCACAGGTCATCAGCTGATTCGCTGACACTCACGCGCACATTACACGCGCCTTGCCCCGCACTTCCGTCGTTGTCGTTTTCTTCACTCATCACAATATTTCTCTTTGTGTCCTTGTCGTGGTGCTCTATAATCGATGAGCTTCTTCAAAATTTGAAGTTCCCTAGGTAGTTCTAACTTTCACTTGTGCCCGCGGGAGCTTTTCATTGTGAAGCTTGATATTTAACTTTGCAACCTTAGTTGAAACGTGGCTGTTTTCTTTCTGAAGCTTGTTATTCTTCTCCTGAAGGTCTACGCAGGTAGTAAGCAGCATTTTGACTATTTTCACGTAAAGAACAGTAGCCTCAGATACTGGCCCGATGGCATATTTGTGGTCCCACTCTGAATTTCAATAAAAGCATCGATAAGAATAAACATATACACAAACGAATACAAAAGCAATGCACCAAAACAGCAAGTTATGAACAATACCAATAGTGTAACTGTTAAGGTTTGCAGGCAAAAGCACTGCATTCAGTATCTAGTGCAACACCTCGTTATGATAAGTACAAAACAGTGTACGCACGTACGTAGAGATTCAGTATGTTTACTGGAGTTTTCATCAAGGCTCAGATCTATTTGAAGAGAGAATAAGTAAATGTGAGTATGCAGGACAACCAACAAAGAATCGTTATTCAGCAAAGCACTGCAAACACAACCACCAGTGCTCACAAGCCATTACTATTTCTTAGTTCGATGGGTCAGCAAACTCACTCACCTTCTTAACAAACTCTTTCACGAGAATGATTTTTGTAACATCTCATTTTATTTGCATATTTCATCAGAAAGGTCTTCAATAGAGTAAAATCACTGATAACTCGTACTTGAAGGTACAAGATCAGCAGACATATCACAGAGGTGTGATTATATATGACAAATTGGCGTAAAGAGCGTATACAATATGGTCGAAAAAAAAACTAATTTTACACTAACTGACTCACGAGTCATTTTACTCAGACTCGGGTCAAGTCACGAGTCTTTCATTATGAAGCTTAACAGAGACTCTGACCGTGGTGCGCGCTGTGCAGTGGTAGACAGGTGACGCGCGTGATAAGCATCACACACGCCGTGACCGTCGATAACCTGAAGCTACACAGAATTACGCCTGAGGGCTTTCAAAGCCTTAATTTCCGGCTTTATCTATGAAATGCGAAAATGTACGTCATACAGGTAAATCACAAAATAATCGTGATCACAATTCGTATTTGTCATGCCGTTGGTCTCCGCGATTGCCGGAGCTATCTCGAAGGCCTCAGTTTTGCATTTCGTTGCTCACCGAGAAAGTGGACACGCATGTATCCCCATTTGCAGTATGTAAAAACAGATAACAACCGTCAACAGGACATTGTAGCATGTGTAATAAAACAGTTCAATGAACAGGAAGTGAGAGATTGATGGAGAACGCAACTGCAATGGCGAAAATATTCAGAGCTATTCGTTCCGGATGCACTTTATAGCTTTGGTATCATGTGTATGCCGAAGTTTAACGCATTTAGGCGTTACAGAACGAACGTCGGAATGCTTGCCTGTAATCGATGTCATGCGATGATCGCTTGCACTTAATGTGCCAGTTTCAGTACGCCAAAATAACTGTAACATCTTTCAAATTCTATCCACACTTCGTTTTGGTGAGCTTCCTACTTTTCTGAAGAGAGGTTGGATGGAAGTAAGAAGCTTGCAAGGTCCTTGATTTTCAGGAAACCGCACCTTAAGACCAACAAAAAAGGAGGGCCTATGCACATTGGCTTCAGCTCGGCTCGCTTTGCACTGCCCATTTACGGCCAGCGCGTCAATGAGGGTGCTGATGGCGGCGTTTTTCGCAGCACCACCTGGGCAGAATCTAGCGTCTATACTGCCCCAGCTCTGATTCACAAGGGGAAGGGGCGGCGCTGAGATTTCTAGAAAGGTCCATTCGCTCCCGACGCTCCCGGGTTGAAGGCGAGCAAGGCGGCCGCAACGCATAGTCCGCACCGCTTGTTTCTCTCTCTCTCTTTTTATTAGGCACTGCGCTGTGTCGCCTTATGCCTTATAGAAACTAGGTGGCTTCTTTGCTTCTTCAAGAATCACTACCACCACCATTTCTGGCCGTACGCTGCAGGACAACGTCCGCCATATGTCACATCATGGCCGCGCTGCCGAAGAAAATGCCGTGGCTGGCTCGATAAATATATATGGCTGTACCCTTTAGATCGGGTGGTGGCTTATGCCATCAAGCCGTAATACTTAGTGAAGCAAAAACTAGATTTTTTCCCCTTTAAATATTGAGGTTGAGGACTCATACTTTGCAGTGAAGAGTTTAATTTTCACTCGTGCCTTTACTTCAGCCACCAATCAGATAACCTCCAGCTAGTTAACTCTACCCGCTTAAAGTCTCTTTTGCCCTCCCTGTCCCGAAACCCTAGCGCTTTGAAAAACTCTGCGCCATCATTCTGAACTAAAGGGTGAAGCCCTTTACCGAACATTTTCAAGTGTTCGGCAGTTTTGTCCTCCTCTCCACACGCACTGCATACCGTGTCTACCCCTTCGTATTTGACCCGATATGTCTTGGTTCACAATAGTCCCGTCCTGGCCTCAAAAAGTAGAGAATTACCTAGAGTATCATCATAAATCCTTTCTTTGACAATTTCCTGCTTAAAAGTTCGATAGATCTCTAGTGCGGGCTTCTAAATCATGCCCATTCTCCAAATATCAGTCTCAGCTTCCTCCACCTTCTTCTTAACCGATAATTCTTTTTGTTTGGCCCTCTGCTGTTTTCTAAATATTTACCAGTCAATTTTCTGGTTCGCTTCCTCCATTTCGTATCGACATTCTTCATATATAATTGGCTGAACACCTTCTTAGCCCAACTTTCTTCCCCCATTTCTCTCAATCGCTTCTCAAAATTTATCTTGCTGCTAGCTTCTCTGCCTTCAAATGATTCCCATGCCATATCACCTTGTACTCTCTGATTCGGTGTATTCCCGTGAGCTCCTAAAGCAAGCCTACCTATTCGACGTTGCTTTATTTATAATCTTGCTTGAACTTCTGATCTCATGCACAAGAACGCATTGCCGAATGTCAGACCAGGAACCAGGACCCCTTTCCACATTCCTCTCACAACGTCATACCTATTGTAACTCCACAGTGCCCTGTTTTTCATCACTGCTACATTCGTGTTACCTTCAGTCGTCACGTATATTTCGTGTTCCTTTAGTACTCGGTCCCATTGCTGATCCATACGCCCACATATTTGAATTTATCTGTTATCTGTAGCGTGACCTCCTGTATTGTAAGGTTACTACCTTCATTATCATTAAAAATCATGATTACTGATTTTTCCTTACTGAATCTGAAATCTAACCTATCTCCCTCATTACCGCAGATGTCCATCAATCTCTGCAAATCTTCCTTGTCGGCCAATAGCACTGTATAATCTGCGTACATCAATGCTGGTAGTGCCTGTTCAATGAGATTTCCTCGTTTGACAAAAGGGAGGTTGAAGCCAAGTCTACTTCCCTCTAATTTGGCATGTAATCCTTGTAGGTACATCATGTATAATAAGGGTGACAGACGACACCTCTGCCTAAGCCCCCGTTTTACCTCTGCGGGCTTGGATACTTGTTTTTCTCATGTTATAACTAACCCGGCACCTTTAGAGATATCCTTTAAAAATTTTGTGACTCCATCTTTCACATCTAGTGTGTCCGGTATTCCCCACAAGTTTCTTGAACCACGCTATCGTATGCTCCCTTGATATCCAAAAATGCAAGCCACAGGGGCCTGTGTTCTTTTTTGGCAATTTAGATGCACTGCGTCAGTGAAAACAGATTGTCTTCTAACCTATTTTGTTTCCGAAACCCATTCTACAGTTACCCAGCACCCCCTCATCCTCCATCCATGCCTGCAGTCTTTCCTTTAAAATCCACATCGCCAGCCTATAGACCACTGATGTCACTCTTATAGGATGGTAGTTGTTTATGTCAGCTTTGTCCCCCTTCCCTTTATAGATCACGCTCTTCCTGCTAAGATTCCATCCGTCGGGGACTTCACCATCGAATATTATTTTGCGCAATGCCTCTCTCAAAGTCTGCTTAGACTTCGGACCCAATGTCTTTATCAGCATAATTGGAATGTTATCTGGGCCTGTTGGTGTACTACTAGGAACCCTCTTCTCCGCCTTTTCCCACTGTCGTTGTGAAAATGGAGCCATTGCGCCACTTGATTCATCCTTGTCTATTGTGGTGCATAAAGCACTTCTTTGTTGAAATTTTTCTGTCACCCTTGTTCTTATATATTCAATAGCTTCGTCCTCTTGTGGCCTAGAACCTTGAGCTGTAATTATAAACCTCTGCTCTAGTCTCATCTCACTTCTTAGGGAGTTTATATGGTTCCAAAATTTCGCAGCTGCCTTTCTGTCCTCTTAATGTGCTTCTGCCAGCCACTGAGCCTCCTTTCTTCTAATCTTTTCGTTGATGAGAAGGGATGCGTCCCTTCTACAGCTTAGAAAGATTTGCCTTCTTCTTTCAACACCATGTCTCTGTTCAACCCGCTGCTTAGCATGTCTTTGTTCCCTAGAGGCTTTGTGACGTTTTATTATGGTACTCTTAACGTCCTCGTCCCCCAACTCTTGGGCTTGTGTCTTCTTTTCCGGGGTGACTTGTCACGTGCCTTAGCAAGCTCTAGCTCAAACAGGCTAATTAGATACGTGTGTGTGTGCACTGTTTTAATATCGTCAGTGATTACGTTCTCAATTTGTTTAGTGGCTATTTCAATTTGCCTTCATTAATAAAAATTTTCTGGTATTTGCTCATCTTGTCTTCTCCCCACTTTCACTGCTCTTCCAAATCTTAGCTTGATACGTTTGTGATCACTACCCAGACTTCTCGAGCCACCTTCATCTATGTGCCTTTCCCTGAGCCTATCATACATCCTATGTGACATCAGTGCGTAATCTATCTTCGACTGCAGCCTTCCTACACCTCATGTTATTTTCTCTTCACACTTCTCAGTACTGTTGCGAATGATCAAATCAAGCCTTTCACACATATCCATGATCATTTTGCCTGTCGGGTTGGTATATCCATGTATATCTGCTATGTGCGCATTCATATCTCCTAGTATATTTATCTCGCACTCTCCTCCTAACTCCGGAATGTCCTTTGATATACACTCTATCATTGCCTGGTTTTCCTGTCTACCTTTGCTCCCGTCCACAAGTACACCAAACCAAGGAGTGTCATTTGCCCTGCCACTCTCCCTTTTAGCCCCAAATGTTCTTGCACTCCTGCTCGATCCTTTGCCAGTCTGTATTTGTATGAATGAATGCCCAAATACCACCCCCTTTCTGCTGCCTTCTGTTATATTACAGTATTCCCACGCGTAGTCCGGATTGTTAGGAGGTTGTTCCACTTCCCTAAGATGTGTTTCTACAAAAACGCATATCATCGGACTCTCCTCCTTTAGCTGTTCTTTTATCTCTTCCCACTTCAGGTTGTTGCTGCTACCCTGCATGTTAATCTACCCTATATCGAAATTGGCTCGGCCCTCGTGGCTACGTCTAGTTCTGCCCCGGACTCTATCTATCTTAGATACTGGTGCCACTTTGTAACTGTATCCGTCCATATCACCTGTCAAAGAGTCTTCCTAGTTGTTTTTCTCGTTACTAGCTATCCTGCACCCCGAAGGGCGCGCGTGCCCCCCAAGAAAGCTACTGCACTTTTTGCAAGTCACCTACCCACCTCATGATCTAGCCGCCCATAGAAGCGAATTCTGTCTCACAGAAAAGCACCCGACCTATGCACCTCTCTATTTATTTCCACCACCTCAAAGCCTTTCTCACGACTCATCCGACATATCTCTTGCTTTGCATTGACAACCGCTCTTTGCAGGTTACCGCCACGCACCGCTACCTTCGGTATCGTGCATATCACTACATATTCCTGAGAAGAAGTGGCGTGCATGTCATCGACCCTTTTCGCCACTGTGGTCGCTAGTCCTGCTGTGTCTTCATTTAGGACATCGTTTAAACTGCCTGAAATTATCATGAGGTTTCGTCTATGAGTGGTAGTTTTAAATTTTGCGCTCTCTTGCCTCATGACTGCTTCCAGCAGAACGTCCCTACTGCAACCCTATTGTCACCTCTTACCCTCTCTGTGATTGCTTCTGCGCACTGATTATTTAAATTCGAGTCCCCGGCGATTATGACATGCTGTGACTTTTCAGCTAGAGTGTCCTGCACTTGGGGGTTACTTGCACCTGTGACGCCGGCTGCTTTGTCCCCTCTCAGCCCCACCACTACTTCACTAAAGCTGGGTCTTGCAACGATTGAACCGGCTGAACCTGTTTTTTTCAAACTTGCTTGCTCTTTCTTCTACGCCGTTCGGGTTGCTGGAGCCCTAACATTCTCTCTGTCGGCCGTTCGTTTGTTCACCTTTGCCTTGGTTCACCTTTGCCTTTCCCGTTTGTTCACCTTTGCCTTTCTCCCAAAGCCCTCGTTTTCTCTTGCTCTGTCGCCAACGAAGTCTCCAGCACGGTGATTCTCATCAGCACTTCACCCGCGGCAATCATTATTTTCTCCATTTTTTCCTCGACCTCACATATCGTACACTTGGCGTCAGCCTCCTCTCCATTCGCTTCTACACTGGGGCACATTTTCCAACTCACCCGCATCCTGAACCCTTTACAGTCTATTTAACCATGTCTTTCTGACACCAATTGTCCTTAAGACTTGTCTGTCTTGATAACTACAATGTACGATCTCTGCCCTAAGAAAAAGAGAAAGTCTAAGCTCTTCTACAAAAATTTGCGTGTTCAATATACGTTCACCCCCCCCCCCCCACGAGGAGGTAAGAGAAAAAACAAGAGGATGTTCTATAGAACCTCCGGAGCGGCAGTCCCGGCCGCCGCCAACAGGA